TTTTCAAGTGGTTAATGGGAGTGAAAAATTAATTAAAATTAAATGATGCTATTAATATGATAGAAGAATGCTCAGTAGCTAAGATGCTGAGCTTGTCGATCGGAAAGGTTGGCAGTTCGGCGGTTCGAATCCCTAGTGGCGCATAACGGAGTGAGCTCCCTTTACTTGTTCCAGCTTCTGCCAACCTAGCAGTTTGAAAGCAATGTAAAAATGCAAGGAGAAGAATAGGAACCACCTTTGGTGAGAAGGAGGTTGGTAGTTCGGCGGTTCGAATCCCCAGTGGCGCATAATGGAGTGAGCTCCCTTTACTTGTCCCAGCTTCTGCCAACCTAGCAGTTCGAAAGCAATGTAAAAATGCACGGAGAAGAATAGGAACCACCTTTGGTGAGAAGGAGGTTGGTAGTTCGGCGGTTCAAATCCCCAGTGGCGCATAATGGAGTGAGCTCCCTTTACTTGTCCCAGATTCTGCCAACCTAGCAATTCGAAAGCATGTAAAAATGCATGGAGAAGAATAGGAACCACCTTTGGTGGGAAGGTAACAGCGTTCCGTGCGCCTTCAGTGTTTAGTCATGCCGGCCACCTGACCACGGAGACCCCTAGAGTCAGGAACAACTAACACATATGTGCAAGGGGAACCTTTACCGTTACTTTTATTAATATGGTGAATGAATGATAGCCAAATAAATAAGTGCTTTTGCAAGAGGCATCTGGACTTTGTTTTCCTTTGAATACATTTTGCTCCTCATCCAAGAAGCTTCTTCAGTTCTGATAGTGAGGATGAGAAGCTTCTTCTTGGATGAGGAGCAAAATGTCCTCAAAGGAAAACCAGAAAGTCCAATTGCCTCTAGAAAAAAAGAGCACCTTTTTGGGACAACCATGACCTGGATGACTGAGAATATCCATAGTCAATGGATAGAAACTAACAAGAAGAGAAGCAACCGAGAACTAAGGATAAATTTCCTAACAGTGAGAACAATAACGCAATGGAACAGTCTACAGAAGTTGTGGGTGCTCCACAGTGGGGGGGATTCAATTTTTTTTTTACTACTGGCGCTGTGGGCATGGCTTTGTGGGCGTGGCAGGGGAACGTTACTGCAAAATCCCCATTCCCTCCCCATCCCACTAACCTGCTTTCCAGCTCCGTTTTCCTGTTCAGGGCAACAAAAGAAGTTCAGCTGGGATGCTGGAAGGCACCAGGGGCGGGGCCAGCCTATTTGCCGGTTCTTCGAACTATTCAAAATTTCTGCTACTAGTTCTCCGGAAGATGTCAGAACTGCCTGAATACCACCTCTGGTGCTCCATCACTGGAGGCTTTTAAGAAGAGACTGGTCATTTGTCTGAAATAGTATAGGGCAGTGATGGCGAACCTTTTTTGCTTTTTTGCTAAAAGCATGCACGCATGCGCTAGTGCGCTTACGCACATACCTACCCCATAATTTAATGCTCTCCCCTGCCGTGCCCCCCTGAGCATGCTGCATGACAGGCTGCCTCGTGCATATGCACACAGCTTTCTGGAAGCTTGGGAAGGGTGAAAACGGCCTTCCTGCTCACCTGGAGGCCCCCCAGAGGCAGCAAGCTGTCCGTTTTCTAACTTCCAGTGGGCCCGGGAGGTCCATTTTTCGCCCTCCCCAGACTCCAGAGGATTTCTAGGAGTCTGGAGAGGGTGGAAAACAGCCCAACACGCAAACCAGAAGTTCAGGAACGGACTTCTGGGTTGCCTGTTGGGCTGTTTTACTCCTTACAGAGCTTCAGGAGGATTCTCTGAAACCTCCAGAGGGCGAGAAACAGCCCAAACTTCCGGTTTACGCGTTGGATGGTTGGGTGGGGGGGGGTTCGTCCTTCGGAGGGTGAAAAATGGCTGAAAATCAAGGCTGAAAATCAGCTGGCCAGCGCATGCATGCATGCGTGCTGAAGCTGAGAGGGCGCCTCATGTGCCCTCAGAAATGGCTCCGCATGCCACCTGTGGCATGCGTGCCATAGGTTCACCATCTTGGGTATAGGATTTCCTGCTCAAGTCAGGGGGTTGGACTAGAAGATCTCCAAGGTCCCTTCTAGCTCTATTATTCTATGTTCTATGCTTTTCAGAGAATTTATCAAAATCCACTGTCTTTCTGAAATTTTTTGGAGGACTGGGAGCTACTGAAGGAACAAAGGAAGGTCGCCTAGTGTATCCCCTGGGTGACACGCCTTTATCCCTTTGCATTCTCCGCTGCCCCTCAAAAGTATTAAAGGAAACTGGTGTTTTGTATTTAAGTGGCGAGATTAAAGGCCTATGAAAATCTGAAAGTTGACTCTTTTAGCAGGTGAGCCTCCCATTCCCAAAGCTGCTTTCAACCATCTGTCTTTTTTTTAAAAAAAAATGCCGGAAGGAAGAAAAAAAATCCTCAGAAGTTGAAGGGAAGCTGAACCCGGAGCCGCAGATGATAAGCTGACTTACTTGCTGATTCAGTTCGGCCTTTGTGTTTTGAAGCCGTCATGCCAGAGCAAGTTACGCTTTAACAAAGGCATTTAAGGCATTCGCGATTTGCAAGAACAATAAGCAATAAAGCCCTATACTTTGAAACAGCGGCATTCAGGAAAGAAACGGAAAATGCAGCGAATGAGAAATGCGTAAAGAGCCGGAGAGGGCTAAGAGGTGTGTTTGGCAGGGGTGGGAGGAAGATAATGGGATTGCTGGAATGGAGTCGCTTTTCCATTCTACTTTCTCGGTGCAAAAGGCTGTTGGCAATTGCTAAAATGGTCAAGTGTAAAGAACAATAATAGGATGAAATCATTGACCCTATACAGAATAACAGAGTGGGAAGAGACCTTGGAGGTTTTCCAGTTCAACCTCCTGCCCGAGCAGGAAACCCAGTGGTGGGTTTCAATTTTTTTTAGAACCTCTTCTGTAGGTGTGGCCTGCTTTGTGTGAGTGGCTTGCCAGCCATGTGGCTGGGTGGGCGTGGCCAACTTGTAAAATGTAGTGAAACTCACTTAACAACGCTCTTGCTTAGCAACCCAAATGTTGGCTCAGAAACTCTGGCATTTGAAGCACGCAAGTCTTAAAGCTGTCAAGTTAGAAGACCCTTGCACCCCTAACCCTTTAGGAAAAAAAAAAACCAGGGGTGCTCAAACGTGATAGCTTTAAGACTTGTGGACTTCAACTCCCAGAATTCCNGACAGAGACAATAGAAAAAGCATGTCTTTGCTTTCTTGTTATGGGGTGTGTGTGATTTTTTTTAAAAAAAAATACTGATATTTATTATTTTCTTAGAAAACACAGGTTCCATGATTAACCAAAGAAAAGAAATGCATTAATTACTGTAAGAAGACACGGTATAAAAGTCCTGATCCTGACTTTAAGATACATGGATTTCAATTCCCAGAATTTCCCAGCCAGCATGAGGAATTCTGGGAATTGTAGTCCACATATCTTGAAGTTGCCTAGTCTTAAAAACCCTGGCTTAGTCCAACAATATTTCTCAGCATTCTCAAAAAGAACAAAAAAAAATCTCTGAATTCACTGTTCTGAACATTCCCAAGGATTTGAACACATGCTGAGATAATAATTGTATCCAATTTATTTCAAGAATTTACTTTTACCCAAGATGCTTGAAACCGCAGCCTTAAAGAAAATACTTTCATAACACATTTTAGCCAAAATGTAGCAGTTTCTTTCTTCCGCTCAGTACAAAACTAATGGAAAAAAAATTCTAGTCACACACTAAGCTTAACTTTTCATAGATTGATACACTTAGTATATGCAGGGAACACAGAAGGCCACTGTGAATACATTTTGTCTGGCAAGAGTGTTTATTTGAGTAACATACTGTCTTTTAGCATTTCACAGTTGCAACTGGATTTAAAACCCCTTGCTAAACAACAACACTCCTCAAAGGCACTTTTTATGAAAGCTTGAAGGTCACCCAGAAAAAAAAAAGTCCTGAATTGTCAGACTCCAGCTGCTACCCCACCCCATCCAGGCAAGACGACAGAGGATCATATGACTTCTAAATCCTTCCTGTCTACATCTTTTGGGGATCAGAAACCCAGAGATCCATGGCAGCAGCAGGAGTGATTATCTTTTGTCAAAGTGAAAAGCAAAGCTCTGGTTTTCTTTCATCTTAACTAAACTCCTTTCAGAGGAAAGCTTGAAAGATGACATAAGGGGATTTAAAAGAAGCTGTGAAGATTGTTGACTCAGATCCCAACAAACCTTGGAAGAGCCAGCCAAAGGGATTCAGGACCAAACCCACTGACACACACACACACACCCAATAGCAGACTTCTTCTCTTAAGCTGAATGAACAACCGATAGGAGCATTTGATTGGCTACATTCACTATTTGGGAAATTGTACAAAAGAGTACTTACACAGCAAAAACTGACACAACACAGTAAAAGTTATAATTCGGAAACAATACCATTCCTCCAACAAGATATCCCTACGCCATTGATCTTATCCTTTGGTTCTATCACCCAATTAGTTAACAACATTAAAATGGCTTTAAGCAAGACGTCTTTGAATGAAGACACAATTACCACCAATCTTTCAGAATGTCATTTTATCTTCCCTAAAGGAAAAGCATTGTCAGGGCAATCTCCGTGTCAGGGAATTAAAGCTCTTTCAAGAAGGCCAGGAAACATTTTCTGCCAGCAATAATTTAAATGATGCCAGGAAAACCACCAGGTTAATTCGATAGCCTTGTTAAAAATCAATGGCTTTAAGATTCTGGGATAACAATTCAAGGAATGATACGGATAAATGACAGGACAGAAAAATGAAAGAGATTAGTTTTGCTTCATTTTGCAGAAATGTCTTCTACTGTGCATTCTTGAAAAACAGAGCCTCTGGTCTGCAAGATTTTGCACAGTCCATCCCACACATATATTTTTGCAGAAGTCAAGAATGACACCTATATCTTTATTAATCATGACATTTAATTTTTGGGGAAATGGATTAGACCGAGCACATTACTACTGCCACAAAATAACCCACCACACCGCATCCTCCCTTACTTTCATCATCTTCCAACTTCTCATCGGTGCCTTTGCCGGGGTTCCGCATTTGTGAGCAATTTCCTCCACTCCTTGCCACTAATTATTTACTGTTCACCTGTGCCAAAGATACGCCAAGCTTCATTCATCCCATACAACCATTTCCTCTGCGTAATTATATGGACAAACAATCCTGCCTCTGTTGCCTCTAGTGCCATCATGAATGCAAAATAAATAGCAGGATATGGAAGAGAGAGCATGCAGCCTCTGAGCTTTTCAAAAAGGGTGCAGGAGACCCCCGGAGACCCTTATCGCCCAGAGCACACATGTCACAATCACGAAGAACACAAGGCAGCAACCCGCAAACCGAAAAGGAGAGGGCAAGCATTGATGTACTGTACCTCTTCTAGCAGCGTGATGGTGTTCCTGCAGTTCTGTAGCCGGGTGGTAAAACTGGATGTGGTTGGGGAATTGTAATCTTCCGTCGTCTCAGCAATAAACTCCGACACAGTGATCTGGTCCGGCATGATCCTGCCCCACGGGGACAGTCGAAAAGCCACAAGGAGAAGAAAGGAGAGACAAGGAGAGTGTGAGAGCATTAAACAGAAGGCAGGGGCATCAAGGAGAAGAGATCAGCTGGGCTCCTGACTGCAGTGGGAGCCTGCTGGAAAGAGAGGAGAAGCAGGATGCCCTTCCTGGTAGCGATTATACAAACTAGGGGTGGGGGGGGGAGCCATCTCCCCTGGGTCACGTCTGTCTGACTCAGAGCAGCTCTTCTTCCACCACCCAAAATCAGCAGGAGCTGCTCAGGTTATCTCAGAGCCCCTATTCCCCAAAGGGGGGCGGGTCCCAAGCTCACCCCAACTATCCCCCCCAATACTTTGTCAACAAGCCTATAAGAGTACCAGCGTGCCTACCGTCCCTGTCCCCATTTCCTGTATTCAATTATGTTTATACTTATAGCTGTTATCTTACACACGCTTGACAAAATAAATAAAATAAATTAAATTCAGCTGCCAGCCCAGTGCCAGGTCCAGCCATGTACCCCTCCACTTTTGCAAAAAAAAAAATGCAAAGTGATCCCTCCCAGCTTCAGAAAGCCCCAGGATCTTTCCTGGTCCCAGCAAAGGGAAGGAGAGGAGTGGGATGAGCAGGAGAGGAAGGGGCGCTCCGCCAAGATCTCCTCTCCAGCCCCGAGAGAGACGTCGCGCTTCCGGGGTACTGCAGCAGCTCCTTGGCATCTCCCCTTCCCCAAAATAGGGGAAACCCATCTCTTGCTTCTTGGCCTGGGTCGCGCCCCCTCCCCACCCACCATCCTGGAGACTGGAGGGGGGGGGGTGTTGGAAGCTGCTTTGCAAGGGACGGACCACCACCCCCCCTTGGCGGGGTTGCTGCAGGAGGGTCTCCCCTTCTCCCCAGAGCTACTAACTTGCGCAGGCGCCCCCTCTGCCCCTCCGCTGCGCCCCCCCAAAGATGGAGCGGGGGGGGGGAGGAGGGACCCGGCGAGGGGGGGAATCAGCAACAGCAGCGGAGGAAGAGGAAGAGAAAGGAGACCCCGGCTGCAACCTCCCGAGCAAGACCGCCGAGCCTGCCTGCCCGTCCGTCCGTCCGTCCGTCCGCCCGCTCTCCAGACGCGCCTCTTCCTCCCTCCCTCCCTCCCTCCCTCCACGCGCGCACGCGCGCTCCCGCGCCGCCTGCTGCAGCCGCCTCCGCCAGCGGGCGGGCGGGTGCAGCAAGAACGCACGCGCCTGCCTGCCTGCCTGCTCGCTCGCCTGCCCCGCCTACTCCGGGAGTCAAGAGAGAGAAAGAGCGCGGGCATAAACGCGCAGGCGCTCTCTCCTTCGGCTTCGCTTGATGCCTCCAGCGACGCATGCGCTCTGGTGNTTTTCCCACGGCACACCTTACACTATGTCACGGCACACTAGTGTGCCGCGGCCCAGTGGTTGAAAAACACTGTCCTAAAGGCTACGCACAGCCATTTTGGTAAAGGGGACGGGATTTCTGGAGGCAAAGAAATGCCATATTCAGTGTATAAGACGCACCTAGATTTTCAGCCTCTTTTTTGAGGGAAAAAGGTGCGTCTTATACTCTGAAAAATATGGTATTTTTATTGAGATTGGCTATAATAATGGAATCTTGTAAGTCCGATTGTGCTGGACTTCCCCCCACCCTCCTTCTTATACTCGGGAGAATTAGGAAAGTGTCTGAGTCGCTTCGGCATTCTTCCTGCTTGTTTTGGACTTACCGTATTTTGAGAGTATAAGACGCACCTTTTCAACCCCAAAAAGAGGGTGAAAATCTGAGTGCATCTTATACACTTAATACAGCATTTTTGGTCTCCAAAAACCCTGCCACCACGCATCCCGTTTTTCATAAAAATGTACGTGCAGAGGGTTTGGGAGGCTTGCAAAGTGTTCCTGTTGGCTGGGGAGGACAAAAATGAGTGAAAAGTGAAAATGGGCCCATTTTTCACAAAAACCGGGGGTGTTTTTGCCCTCCCAGGCCCCCACAAGCACTCTGCAGGCCTTCCAAACTCTCTACACGCCCCATTTTTTTTCAAAAAATGGACCCATTTTCACAAAAAACAAGCCCGTTTTTTTGCCCTCCCCAGCCCCCAGGAGCACTTTGCCGGCCTCTCAAACTATCTGCATAAATTTACCTCTTCAAAATCTTGGTGTGTCTTATACTGCGGTGCGTCTTATAGTCCGAAAAATACGGTAATCCATGCTTTCTCCTCTGGTTGCTTTGGTAACAAATCTATCCTACCTCTGTCAAGGTCATCCTCCTTACTTTTTTACAGCGAGACAAGCATTGTATTTATCCTCTATCCATCTTGGCACAATTATAACTGAAAGAGGGGAAGAGAGAAAGGCTGTGAAGAATCTTTCTCTCCAGCTGTCTCTAAGTTATTCTTTGCGAAGGCAGACATGCTGTAAAGAAAGAAACAAAGGAGAAGTGGGGGGTGTCGGCAGAGGGCGGGGAGTCCTACTGTGGCACGCGCACCAGGGAGCTAGCAAGGTGACGTGCCCCGTAGTGTCACTGCACCTAGGACGTGGATAATGGGACCTGTGCCATTTGCCTGGCGGTGGTGCGCCCGAGCTCAGGGCGGGGAGTCCTACTGTGGCACGCGTACCAGGGAGCTAGCAAGGTGATGTGCCCCGTGGTGTCACTGCACCTAGGACGTGGATAATGGGACCTGCGACATTTGCCTGGCAGTGGTGCATCTGCCTGCGAATACGACCCTTCAGCACACCAACAAAGACTCGTCATCACTGGGGGTCCTTTCAGGGGCGCGGAGCGGGGAGGCGGCTATTGGCACTTCCATGGAATGGCAACGAGGAGGGTGAATGCCAAAAGGTTCTTCATGACAGGAGTGTGGGTCGCCATTGGGCTGGCGTTCCCCCCGAAGAGGGAGGGCTCCGTGGCTTTCCGGGTACCCGGACTCCCAGTTTTTTAAGGGCACTGAATGACGCAGCTCTTCCCTCAGCAGCTGAGAATGTCTGCCGTCTCCAGCTGTCCTGCCATGTGACACCCGTCCCCATTGGTGAATTTCTGTCACTCTTTCCAGCAGAGGGTCCCTAAATGTCCTTCCTGAATCTGCTTTAGCAGCTTGTGCTAGTCTGCCCTCAGGGGCATCTTCGGCCATACAGCTGTGCTGGCCCTCAGCATCTGGCAGAGCAGCTGGGCAAGGACTAGGCACACTCTCGGTGGACGGGACTTCCGTTGCTTCTGCCTCCAAGGCTGAGGAGCTGTTGCCAGGTTCGGAAACCCCTCCGGGTGGGCCGCAACCCTCTTCGGGAGAGGCCGGGAGGCTCTCTGCAGGTGCCCCATCTGTGCAGTTCAGGATCCCGTCCCCCAGGACCGTCTGGGAGGTGCGGGTGGTGTGCAAGAGGGGAACCTGGCCTCTCGCTCGCGGCCTGTGAAAGAATCTGTTCCAGAGTCTACCCAAACGTTGCCTGGAAGAGCCGCGCCTCGAGGAATGGCGCCTCATTTGCCGCCTCATGGCCGTTCGGATGTTCTGCAGCACGGAAGCCTGCAAAGATTTTAAAAAAGAAAAAAAAAATTAAATATTTTCCTTAGGGAGTTTCGTCAAAACTCTAATTTTGATTCACCACAAAACCACGAAGCCCTTATCCGCGCCGACATAAGTGTGGAGGGCAAATCCGCGCTGTTCGAAGCGCTAAGGAAAAATGCGATCCTACCGCGATGACATAATCGCGGAGGGCAAATCCGCGCCTTCCGAAGCACTCAGCACTCAGCACCCTAAACCTAACCCTAAACCTAACCCTAA